CTCTGCAGGGCTGTTCTGCATGCATGCAAAGCCACAGCGGTGACTGCACAGACCTTGAAACATCTTCCTTATCCACTGCAAGGTCTCAGCTTGGAGGAATACCTTTCTGGGACTTACAGTCTCAGTTCCCACCCTCTGCTGCTGATCTTCTTCACTCACTGGATTCTCCACAGCACTGTACTATGCAAATATATACAACCCAAGGATCATTTTGGAATAAATCAACCTAAATTAAAATAATGAACAAAAAGTACAGAGACAGATCAGGCACTGAAGCCATTTATCTTTCTTTCCCCCTGTGTCTCTCTTTTTTCTCTAAGAAAGCTTTTTTTTCCCTCTACACTTTTTTTTTTTTTTTTTTTTTTGGGGGGGTGGGTGGGAAGAAGCAGATTGGCTTTTAATTTTTTTAAGCAATCTCAACAAACAGAAGCTGTCTGTTGCTATTCAGCAAAACCCACCAAGCAATGTTGGTAGCTTGGCATCAATTCTTGGCATGTCTCTTTTCCTTAAGTTGCTGTTTTTGTCTACATTCATACTAACTCCTTTTGGAAGACACTATCATCACCTCTGACTTTGCTATTACTCACTTTAAACCACGCAGCCAAAATAAGATACAGTGCCATCCCTTGCCTTGTACCTATGAAATAGCACGATGCAATTACCGTGATGTTGGCTGCCTGCCCTCACCCTGCCTTGTCCTCCCTATTCCCTTGGCCTGAAGGCCCCACAGGCTTGGCACCCAGTTCAGTCCCAGCCCTCAGTGCCTGCAGTGCTGGCAGGGACTGACACTGACCCTGATCAGCAGGAGAAACTTGATCTGCTTGAGCATCCATCCTGCAGGGCCAATCCCTTCTGCACTCTCCAAATGGACACTGAGCTCTTTGGAAAATCTGGGTGGATACCACCCATGAGAAGCAAGGAGAGCTCTGAGTTGTGCTTCCCACCCAGGGCCATGGCCGTGATCAGCTGCCAGTGCCCGGGGCTCAGGCAGCTTTCAGGGAAGTAAGGCGTGCCACACATCACTGTGGCCAGTACAGCTGAACTATGTCTCTTGAATGTCTTAGGATTTATAGGAATACCAGACTTGACATGATTCCAAATACACCCTCCTGTGCTTGGTCCCTATGACCATTATTTTTTTTCTGGTCGTTATTTTGTCTCTCTTTCTCTGTCGGAATCACAAAGATACAAGATTTTCTATTTTGGCCTGTCTGTGCTGTGGCTTCACTAGCTCTGCCAACCAGTTTGTTTCACAGGCCTCAATGCCTGGATTTTCACTGACCCTTTTCTGGAGCCCAAATGAGAAAGCACCCTCAGGCCTCAGGGGAGATGCCTCCAGAGATGGATGGGTTTTTCAGCTGGTCACATCACACTGGCAGGGCTGACTGCCTAGTCAGCAAACCTCCATAAAATGTTAACCCTTTACAGCTTGTAGTCTCTGTTGTAATCCCCCTTGCTTCTCTCCTTAGCTTTGGTGGCTTCAGATGTCCACCCTTTTGCCAAAGCAGACCCTGCTGACTCGAGAGCAGCCGGCTCAGCAGAACCGGCAGGGCCACGCACTGCTGAAAGCAAGAGGGGAGCAGAGATGAGTGGGAGGTGACCACTGTTACAGAGGAGCTCTCTTCTGCACAGCTAGGACACCCAGAGAGAGGAAAGAGGACTCAGAGGGTATTAGAAAGAAAGCTGCTCTCTGTTTCCCACTCTGGCCATCAGACCCAAATGAACGCCTCTTCTGTCCCTTCCCCCAGCTCCCACCCACCTGATGAAGGCATTAGTGACAGTACAGGCTACACAGGCTACAGCTAAATGGAGACTATCTACGATCTACAGTCACACAGGGTCATTCTCCGATCAGTGCACGTTTTGGCAGAAAGGCAGGACTCCTCATTCTCCCTTTCCCCCCCACTCTGCTAATTGTTAACATGCCACTGCTATAAGTCTTGTGTCAACCTATTGATGGCCGTGATTTTGTCTGATCAGGCCCCAAAGATGGACACACTTGTTACCCTGTGGGCAGCTCTGGATGTGATGCTTTCTGAAACACCACATCCCCCCTTGTGTAGCTCCCAGGGCATCAAGCTAGCCACACTGAGAAAGCCCCTACTTAGCCTCTGGCAAGCTCTCATCACAAAACTCCTGTGAGGAAGACTCACAGGTTTTGAAGCCCATCACTCTGGCCAAGCCATTCTGATGTGGACACTAGGTGCTAATCAAAGCAAAGGAGTTCATGTTCAAAGGGCTGAGGACGAGGGACAATGAAGGAAAAAGATGGAGCTAGTGCCATATTTGTGACACGTCCCTTTGAGGTTCAACAGTGGACATGCTTGCCCTTCCATTGGCAGATGTGGTGTGGAATGAACAAATTCTTTTTCCAGAAGAAAAATCTTTTTGAAAAGGCACCTGGTGATGCAGTAAGGCCCCTGCTTGGTGACAGCCAGGTCTTGTGTCAGCCCATTATAACATGATGTTACAATGCAGACAGAAAGATGTGATGATGTGGCCTCATCCCAGAAGACATTTCAAGGCATTTTGAGTGCCAGGCTGCAAAATCAGGAGAGCTGGAAAATTTATCAAGGACAGCTCAGTTGAGAACTGAATCAGCTGGGCTCCACCAGCATTTTAGGAAAGTGTCTCATCAAATTCAAGTCCCGTTTATTTAGTTGCATGGGCTGCTTCAGAGTCTCCAGCTTGCCTGAAAGCAAGATGTTTCCACAGCAGCTAGCTAATGATAGCAATGCTTAGCAGGACTACAGCGCTCTTCGTCTCAAATCACCTTCCTTTTAAATTAATGCTCAAAACCCCACAGGGCAGGGAAGTGTTACTGAGGATTAACAGAAATGAAAATTGAGGGAGAAAGAGGAAGAAGGCTGTGATTCTGGTCGTTGAGGAACAGCTTAATTGAGGGCTGAGGACTACTGTTCAGAACATCAACTCATAAGAAGAAAGAGGTCTAACAAAATTTATGCTCAAAGTTTCTTTGAAGGTGAGCAGCAAAGTAAAAGTAAATGTGAAAATCACCAGCAACTGTGCTGAAGTCCCACAACAGTGAAGCTGGTAAGGACTTTCAGAAAACAAGTGAGGCCCAGAGTATGTAAACTCTGCTTTCCCCCTCTGCGAAATCCTCTTGGATCCTCAGCCCTGGGTCACTAGAGATACACCAGCATTTGCACCACAAATTCCTGGAGACTCCTCACAGGAGTGATGGCACACCAGGACGTCCTCCCAGATGATCTCAGGAGACTGGGGAGCAGTAAAAATATAACAGCTTCAGACACGGACGGGAAAGTGTTTTAAAGGATCAACTAAAGCTGTGCAGGATGGCCTTGGCAAGTTGATTAGGAGGTGTATTTGTAATGGGAATCCTGGCCTTCCTCACTCACAGATTTTGCTTTATCATTTAGCTTAATGGGCTCCTAATTCAAAACCAGGTGTAAACAGGGCTGGCTATGAAAAAAATTAACATTGCCTGCCTGTGGAATTTAAGGCTATATAATAAAAATAATCATAAAACCAAAGAGCCCTGGGTTTTTTGTCAGACAAAAATATTTGTCATTGAAAAATTCTGCTTAAAAAAAAGAACATTTAAAATTGGAAAACTCCTCAAAACCTTACATCCAAAACAGCCTCAGCAACTTTAATTTCATATCCAAGCACAAGTTTCATTTGCAATACATAAGATAATGGTGTTTAATTGGATTTATTTTTCCACAGTAGGTTCCCAATGGCCTACTTTACTCCTTTTCTCAGCTCCTTGAATGTTATTTACAAATCACTCTCTGGGATTTAATTTTAATGGTAGCTTGATTTCTACCTCCCCCCTTCCCCCTTTTTTTTTTTTTCCAAGGTACTTTAATTGTATTTGTGGATTTGCCTTTTAAATAGGCAATTGTGACTACATCCTGAGCCTGAATAAGTTGCCAAGAGCAGAGCTTGATTTGAAAACAGCAGAGTAGTTAAACGGAGCATGTGTAACACCCAGCATTTATTGTTCTTTTCATGGGAGTACCTGCAGGTGCTTTGTTCAAGCAGGTGCTCTTTTGCAAAACAACATGGATTCCTAATAACACTCTATCCCAAAGCTCTGTGCACACATTAACAATTTAGGTCTCTGAGCAGCCCATAAGTTTAGTGCATCCTCCTCATATGGCAAAACAAAGATACTGAGGAGCTGTAGGCCAAGATTTTTTCAGTGAACACAGGGACTTGCTGTCTTACTGTTGATTTAGTTTCAAACACCACTTTCAAATGCTGTAGCCTGCTTTCTGGACATGTTTGGTCTCTGCTTTTTCAGAATGAAAAGCTCACAACCAAGTCCCAAATCTTATATGGATGTTGGGACCATGCTGTCTGCACCCAAGGCAGCAGTGGGCTACAAAGAGACAGAAAAAAACCCCAAACAGACCCTGTTTTTCCTTCATACCTTCTTCCCTTTTGGAATACAGCAGACAGTAACACCTCACCATGTGTCTCTTTTCATGCTTTCTGCCTCAGATGCAGGATTATAAAAGCATGAGAAAACAAAGTGCTTCATGGTGGATGATAAGATGCTCAACTAGAGTGAAAAACCTGGCAGTGTTTTAATTTTTAGTTTTCCACTTATTCTTTCCACTGTCTCTGCAAAATTTTGGGTCTGCTTTTGATCCAAATCTGAACAAGTGGGCAAAGAGAGCTTAGGATGGGAATGTGTTTTAGAAGTAGGTCTGCAGGGAGATTGAACTTCACTAAAGACTGTCCACACCTGGGTGACAACTTGGTGTCATGGCTCACAGCTTGGTTAAAGGTTGTTGTTATTCAGTTGATTGGTTTTTTGAAGAGGGAGGGGGAAAGAGAAGGATGAGGAAGGTGAGCAGAAAAGACAAAATGGCACGTAAATGAGAAGGGAAAGCCCTTATTTTCCTGCATTTCTGAGTTGTTTTGCCCATACCTAGCTCTGAGCATTTGTCAGGATGACGGAGAATGACCCGGCTAAAGAGCTACTTCAACATAAAACACATACTGACCTGGAAAAGGATTGGGGAGTGTGGGTAAAACTCGTTCTAAGGGGGGAAAAAAAACAATAAGCAACATGCAGGAGAAAAGGACAAGCCACTTTTCACACCAAGCAAGCAGCAGATACAAACCTGATGGAGTTGTCCATCCCCAAATTAAATGAACTCGAGTAGGTTTCATATACAGAGCATTTTGCTAGCAACATGCCTAATACACATCAGCATCCCCTGGGACTGGGAGTCAGAGGGAACTGATTTGAAAAACTAAACAAATAATAGCCAAACAGCAAGAGGGATTAAGCACCTGCAGTGAAGGCAATTGGAGTTGATGGTCCATGTCTTCCCTCTGACTTTCAAGACCACTCATGTCATCACTCTACAGTTCCTCTTAGCTACACCTCTGTCTGGAAGCTAGTCTTGGCAGAGAGGTGAGCTGTGGAAGTCCCCCATGGGTAGTTGTTGCCTCCCCAGAACCTTCTCCAAAATGGATTTCTTGCCAATGACAGCTCTCTTGGGGATTTGTGCATGGGAGCAGTCACCCTGGAGAATTCTCAAGAGTATTCTATTCTGCTTCTTTAGTTTTTGTCCTCTGAGAGGGACAGAGTTTTTGCAGACTCATCATCTTCCAGTTGTAGGCAGAGCCTGCTATCTTGTTTATAGGGTTTTATAATGTGTCCTCCTTATGCATCACAGCAGGACTTTGATATACGTCACTGCTGGCTTCATGGTTTGCTTCTTCCACAAAGGATCCCAAAAGAATTGCACAGATACTGAGGGAAACCAGTATCAGAGACCTCTGTCTGAGTAGGGTTAATTCTGCTTCACAGATGGCGCAGGTGATGCAAAGAGCAAGTAAGCAATTTGCCCAAGGTCAAATGCTGAACTTTGGCAGAGCCAGACACAAAACGGAGAATACAAGGTCCCCAGGCTTGACTATTGTCACTGGGTCTCCTTTCTTTGCCTTCAGAGTTTGCTGGATGCCTTGTACTGACTGAGACAAGCTCCTACCCATGGACTGATCCATAGGCAGACATTTAGCTGCAACAGCTCGTAGGCCTGGGGCAATGAGTTATCTCCTGGCTTACTTCTAAGACCACTGCTGATGGACACAGAGCTTGGCAGGATAAATCAGTAGGCCACTATTACTCTCGGATCACCTAGGCCCAGCTAGGAGTCTATGCTGTTTCTACAGTATCCTTGGTGCAAGGAGTGAGTTTGTGTCTCACTGGAGCTCATGAGGATTGAGCAGGTCAGGCCCATCCCTATGACACTGGCAGAACTCCTGCCCTCACAGTGGTAATGGAGTTGTTTGAATCCACAGCAGGCACAGCAGAGATCAAATACAAGTCTAGCCTGGATCTCTCTGTTTATGTAGCAACAGGGGACTATTGTTCTGCGAAAGCAGGCTGTTTGTGCTGACAAGACTTCCTTGTTATTTAGTTTAGTTAAATAACTCAACTCCCCTTTACCTTCTTCCTGCACAGCAGGCTGCAGGCTGCACAGCATAAGCAGTTAAAGTAAAGCACTACAGCCTCATTATCATGCTGCTTTCTATTCAAGGACTCTGTCTCTGTTCCCCTCTCCCACTGTGTGCTGCTTTTATTGCTCCACCCTGGCTCATTAGCAGTGTCTCAGCCTTGCCCCCTCTGACTGTCAGCCCAAACCACTTTCCTCCCTCCTGAGTCTCCCCGTTATTGACAGCCTTGAGGAAAACAGGAGGTGTGCACTAAGAGCCACTAAGGGATTTTGGCCACAGTTGAGGTTCCAAACCCCAGCACCCACCACTGTAACCAAATGCTCAGGTCACACACAAAGCATGGGCAGAGAGGAGGGAGGGGTATCAGTGTGTGCATGCTTGTGGCAGTATGCTAAGAAATAAAGACAAGTTAGAGGCTAATGCCAGCTTTTAGGAACATGCTTTGCTGCAAACAAAAATGCCGGGCTCAGCCTGAAGCTTCTTGAGTTGGCACTGTCTTGCCAGCTTCTGCTTCACCTCTGCGCTTGCTGATTCCCCAAAGGGTTCAGAGGATGCAGCAGGGGACCTGCTGATGTGGCAGTCTCTTATAATTGAGCCAATTGAGCCAGCAGGACTGCATCAGGGTGTGCTGCTGTCTCCTGCTTCAGCCTATGGGATGGGCTAACTCAGCAGGAGGCAGAAGGCAACTGATTTGGAAAAGCATTTCTTTCTTTTCTCTGCTTTGCTAGAATGTATGAGGTGATGCACTTCCTTGTGTGTGCCTGTGGAGGGGTGTGTGGGTTTGCTTCTGCATCACAGAGGTGCATGCCTATGTATACATACTCACCTACACATAAACCTATGTATCTGTGTTCCTCCAGCAAATGCGTATCTGCTATGTGTTTTTATATATATATACATACATACACACACTTCTGTGTAGCATGTGTTAAGATACAAATTGTGACTTTCAATCATAATGCTTTTCATAATACTGCTAGATGAGTAAAACAAAAAGAAAACATATTCCCTATCTCCTAATACACTTGGAGGAAGAACCCTTTTGCTTCAGTTGTGTCACTGCTTTTCACCTCTGTTGCTCTGTGATGGCAGCCCTGGCTTTGCCTCTCTGTCAGGTGATTTTCACAGAGATGTGTATTACAGCCCCTTTTCTTGTGCTTAGAGGTAAACACCTTGCTCCCAGGCTCTGCAGAACTGAATCAACCTTCTGGCTCACCGGTGCTGCCAAACATGGTCCTGCCTCCCAGCTCCTCACACCCACAGATGTGTGATAGAGCTTCCTCTCCTGCATGGGCCTTGGTGCTTCTTGAGCCCAGCCATGAACTAGTTCAGCTCAGTACAGCGAAAGAAAACATTTGGGGAGTTTTAGGGAGATGAGCAGTAAAGCTCATTTACCTGTTCACTGGTTTAGCAGGTTGGACAGCCTCAGTGGGTTGTCCACTGAGTGGCAGAAGAGAAACAACAAAAACACGTGGCAGAGAGCAGGATGAGCAAAAGGGCTGGGGAACAAGGAATGTCAGCAAGCTATTAGAGTAGTTGTATCATCAAACTGTACCTAAGTACCCTCTCTACAAACATACTCCAAATTTGCTGTTGGAGACAGTTTCCTGGGTAAGTTAAACCTTTGGTAGGGCCATATTTATGTTGTTGTAAACTCAGTCTCCAGGAGTGAGGGGTATAAATCTCTCCACCTACAGCAAGCAATCCTGCTGCTACATCCTTTAAGGAAGATCACTAGCTATCTATTCATGCAGCTCAAGGAGGCTGCTTTTGTATTTTAATGCATCTTCTATCTATGACATTGACATCTAAGGCACTCAGTCTCTCTGAGAGTTTTTCAATGCTGACTGAGATTTCATGAAATGGTAGCCACCAATTTTTCTCTATTGCTAAACTGTTCTTTCACATCATTTTGCTTGCTCGCTGTCTGCCCTCCACCTCAGGCAGAGCTGCCAGTAGCTCATTATTAACTCTCTGGTTGTTTCTTCACTCCTTGCTGCCATTCTTTTTTGTGCTGCAATGGGACGCTGAGGAACCATTGCTGTACTTACCTCCCCGGTGGGATGTTGCTCTACAGTGAACTTGTTCTCTCTTTAAAAAGGAAATAAGATCTCTGATTCCAGGGATGAAAAACACTCCCAAGTATCTGAGCATCTTCTGTACCTTGCAAAAACTTGGCACTACTTTATTTTTCTGTCTGGGTGTGTGGCTGGGAATGTGCATTACCTGTTATTTCAGCTACTGTGTGATCACTACAGTATTTCTTTCATCTAGGCATGCAGGTTTTTTTCAGCAGCTTTCTTTATGTTTATGAAGCTGGATTCCCTTCACTCATTTCCCCCCTGATTTCTTAACCTTCAAAATATCAGCTGTAGTCTGCCTGAATTTATTTTTTTCTCTCTCTTTCCTTCTTCCGCACTAACTAGAAGAACATAGATTTCCTGAAACAATATGAAGCAATTGCACAGTGAAAAAGTCAGGATTAACCAAGCAACAAAAACAAATTAGAAAGACTTCACTAAAAATCATCAAATCTCTCTCAGCTCCTGCACTTCCATTCTCCTGGCTCTTGTGAAGTTCTCTAGTGTCCTCCAGTATAAACAAGCCTTGAATTTCTAAAAAATGATAAACCAAATCCAACAACTTGAAAGAAAGTGTTCTTCATACACATCAAAAAGGGGCTAAAATAGGATCCCCACTGTTGCAAATCATCTTTAAAAGTTGCCACATTTCCTCATGGAACAGCAATTTTGCAAGGTTTCCCTGGGTCTCTCACTGGTTCTGCCACTCATTTTATGACCATGGGTAAACCACTTCTTCACTCTGTACCTTAACTTCCTACTGCAAAATGGTGCTAACACCACTCATCCATTTCTAAATGACTTGGGATATTAAAATATTCATTGCTAGCAAATCCTTTGAGATCCTTTGAGGTGAAGTTCTGAAGTCATGCAAAATGCTTCTCTAGCAAAATAACCCCCCTAACTAAAATCATATGTGCATATGTACATTATTGAATTTCATCTTGTATTTTGTTTCAATGATGCATTTCAGCTCATCTGTGTAACAGGAACCAACAGAGAGGGCCAAATTTAGAATTTAGTCACAAATAATGGAATCTAAACTTAGAATTATATTAATATCAGCAAGAACAAATCTGGAGTATTTGAAAATTGTGTTCCAGATTGCTGCCTGAGGATTTTTTTTGAATCTCATGACAGTCACAAGACCAGGGTGAAAAGACTTTCAAAGTACAAATTTGCTTTGTGTGCTGCAATGCTACAGGAAATCAAATATATGTTCTTTTATGATAATATCTGTTCTTTAAAAAATAACTTCCACAAAATATACCCCAACTTGCAAATATTCAAACTGCCATGAAATAAATCCAAAGGTGGTGAATGAAGAATACCCATGGATTTATCCTTTTGCACTACATCTGTTAAATATAACCAAACTATAACTTTGGGTTTTTTGGTGAGAGCAGAAACTAGACTAAACTGCATCCCATACTGACTGCTTTACACAGCTTTTTTTTTTTTTTTTTTTTTTTTTTTTTTTTTTTTTTTTTCCCTGCTTAAAAGGACATGCAGGTCATGACATGAGAGTTTTAATTCAATTTGAGACTGTCACAGGAACACTGCCATCAGTCACTTTTGTGCCTACGTGTTCATTTGTGTGAGTGGGTCATTTTGCTGCAGTGTATCTCTGATGCCAATATCATGTGGCCCAAGCCTAGCCCAAATTTTAGACCTGGAATTGGGAACTGCATTTTAAATACACCACAGTTTGTATGTGTGTGTGGATGGTAGGTGAGGGGCAGGGGGGGCTCTGTTTAGGGTCAGGTTTGAATCAGCTGCAAAATTCAGAACCAGCAGGTAACTCTGCTCTAGCGCTTGGTCTAGTCCCAGCTTCTGTCTGTTTATACTTACTAAGACAAATTCAGTAACTGAAAGGTAGCAGAATGAGATCCAAGGAACCTTATTCCGTATTTCATCTGTTGATTACCTTTTCCCCCGTGGTCCCTATGGTATATCCCTTTAAAATCATTCTGTCTTTTCTCATTTCTGTCCCTTCCAGTTTCAAACCAATTTCTCTTTTTCTTGACTCTGTCACTGTTCTCCTCAGGCTCGGTGGCTAGTTCTTTCCATCTCTCTGAATTACTTGTCATTTCTCAGCTGTCATGGATCCTCCGAGCCCTGGCCTTCTGTCTACTTATTAAAGGGTCTGTCATTCTAAAGGGCTTTTTGTTTCCAGCTTTAAAACAAACACATTTTTATTATTTTAACAAAATCTGTCTCAGCAAAGCCAGTCAATCAAAGGGCTTGACTGTAAACCTTTCAATTTGGCTGTGTTTGTGTTTCAAGGCAAGTATGAACACTTCGGTATCTGAAGCAGAGTGCTGGGAGCCAGGTCATGGCTGGAGGTCTGAGGGGACTGGGTTGTCAAGCAGATGCCTTCCTGAGTTTTGGCCACCATGTGCTTCCTGCACAGCTGTGTTTTTGTGAGGCTCCCTTCACCCTCTCCCGTACTTACTGTAAAGGTATAGGCTGGCATTTGTGACTCCCAGCTTGTTGGCGGCCACGCAGGTGTAGTTCCCGTAGTGCTCCTCAGTGACATTGGCCACCATCAGCAGAGACTGGCTCCCCGTGCTCTTTATCTCCAGACCATTGGCGCTGTTTATCCTGGGAAGACAAGAGAAGAGGTGCCCAGTGCAATGGCAGCTGTGTACTGAGAAAGAAATCCCTCCCCAGCATGCAGCAAAGTCATTTAGTCCAGCTGGCAGGTAAGGATAGATGGAAGCAGGGAGGGGATGTGAGAGGAAAGAGACCAAAGAAGGAAGACCAAAGAAAGAGACCAAGATGGAAAGCAGGAGGAGGAAGTGAAAGGAATGTAGTAGTTCAGTGCGACTAAATGCCACTGGTAAAGCAGTGAAGACCTAACACAATGGAAAGGGAGGAAGCATTTACCCAGCACTGAGTCACTCTGGAAATGAACACATCGTGGTCAGCTGAAGGCTAGTCTGTATTTGAGCAACATATTCTTGGTGAAACACACTGATTCACAATATGTGCCTGTACCAATGCCGAGTCACCCTGAACCTGGGCACCCTGTTCAGGGCTGGCTACCCTAAAATGTAGGGTAATAACACAACCTTCTTAATGCCAGGTAAATGCTCAGGTAGAAAAGGATGGATCCTTTTTCTCTTCTCATTTATTCTCATAGGCAAGTCTGAAAGGCTCAGGTTGCACAGGTGAGGGAATCTCATACCTCAGCAGCTCCTTTCCCTAGAAGAATGCATCTGGAGCAGCATTACCTAATTGAAGACTTATACTACCAACTTTTTGGTCTGTATCATGGGCTTCTTAACACACAAACAGTGTATTAATTGGGTATTGGCCCATAATTGACTTCAAGGCAAGAGCTCCATCCTCTGCACTTCCTTCAGCATCTCCAGTGCAGAGAAGAATTACCTCCTTCAGCCATGACCGTGCTGGCTCTGCCGAGACTGATGGGACGCTACGACTCAAACAGATTGTAAGGAGCAATTTGTTTGAGAGGAGCTGGGGAGGATGACAGGAACCCCTATTCAATGGACTGAAGAAGAGAGGAGGGAAGAGGCAAGCTGAAAGCCTTACCTGGTATCATCTCTGTACCACTCGAAATCAGGCGTGGGCACTGCTGATGCCTCGCACCGCAGTAAGGCTTGTCGTCCAGTGGCCGCTTCGTTGCTCTTGGACTCTGTGATGGTGGGAGGGTCTGCAGGAAGGAAACACATGGTCAATCCACACACTTCCAGTTGGAGCAAAACAGTGAAACTATGTGAGGGGCACCCGCCTTGTGCAAATTCTTTGGGCTTCTGGAGGCTCACAGCAGCTGTTTGCTGTGGCTCTTTCCCCCCCTGCTCCTCTGCAGAACACTGCTCTTTGAACTTTTCTTAATATACAACATTAGCAGCACTCCTTACACGTGCTTCCCTTCAGCACTGCTGAATAAAGTTCTGTCATAAATGCACAGGCATACACAGGCAAAGTTAAGGTTAATGATGGACTTCTGCAATTTATTTCTATTTACCTATGGATCTGTAGTTCACATGGGCTTATCAGAGAGAAGAAGATGAAGGAAAGACTTCATCAAGGGTAAAGGAAGACAGCAAAATTAAAGGAATAAAGAAGGAATTTATCACTATCATGAAAATTGTATTCCACACAAACTCTTTGCCTAATACCAAAACTATATTAAGAAAGGACTGAGGCAACATGTATGAAACAGAAATGCATTAATGGCTTAAAAGAGAAGAACTTTAGCAGAAGCTGTGGGTGCGACTCTGAGAGCCAATGTTGAGACACTTCCCTTAGGTGTCCAAGGTTACAAGTCCCGATCAAACCTTCCTGGATATGGTCCTTTGTGCAAAGCTCCAGAAGAGCTTGCTTGTGACTGCTCTGCCTGAAGTTTGCCCTCAGCCCAGCATGGTGCTCCCACCTCTGCTTACTGTGAAGTCTGAGCGTTGTGCCATGGGCAAAACAAACTTGGAAGATACATTGGTGTGCTCTGCTGGAGCTTGGTCTCAGTACTGGCTGGATAGCAGGTAGGGTAGGCACTGGCATCTTCGATCCCAGCCCCATGTTCAAAATATTAAGCGATAAGCTTTACATGTTAAAAGGCAGAATTATTTCCACCTGACTGCTGAGAAGGATCAAGGAATAAGTGCCTTGTCTCTCGTCACTAATACTTGCATACCCTGAGATTACAGAGCTGCGACTCAGACAGATACTTTGCTGAGACTCAAGTTACCATGAAACACACTCTGCCATCTGTAGCTATCCCAGAACTGAAAGGCCAAATTAAAAAAAAAAAAAAAAGAAGAAAAAAAGAAGCAAAACGGATTGTGTCAGTCAAAGAAAAGAAAATAACTCTGTAGGGAAGGAAATTTGTTTGTGAACACATTAGCCATCTCAATATGATCCCTTCCCTGACCTTAATCGGGATTTTATGCAGGGCTTTAGGGATATTGCAGTGCGCCCTCTAACATCATAAATATTAATAAGTTTACATAAATAGGATCCTACATTCAAAGGCTTAAGTTCATGTAAATGTTTTAATTTGAAAAGGAGAAGGGATAATAAAAGGATAGTGAAGATGATTTTTAAACCATTCTTATTAGATTTTTTTGGTTTGCGCAGTCTATCTTCTTACTGTCTACAGTGAGACAAACCTTTCCATTTCATGAATCTGGTACAAGAGGTGAGTCACAGAATGAATGGGCATCTTTCCATGGTCCTAGAAAATGATTCCAACAAGTGCCTTCTTCACAGTTGGCTGCCAGGGAGCCCAGCCCCTCGCTCTGAGCAGCCCCCATATTCACCACTTTAAGAAGCTGGTGCAGTGCTCTCCTGGGAGAAGGGGCAGGTGGCAGTCCCAAACAAACCAGCCTTTTGCAGAAAGCAGCTGCTCTGTGTGCAGCCCTTTGCTGCCTGCGAAGCCAGGGCTGGGTTCCCTTTAGCTGTTCTCCTCCCACTCTCCCCAGGCCTCAGTTTCCCTGTCTGTGATGTGCCAGGGCAATTACTTGGGAAGCCTGAAGGTGGTAGTGTGAGACCAAAGCAAAGTGAAATGTTTTCTCCTGCAGTCCGAGCTGGCAGTGCTCCACAGCAGATGATAAGAGATGGCCAGGAAGATCCTGAGGTTGGACAGGCCCCATTTTTCAAACTTACTGTGGTTTTCCCACTTTATGCTTCTTGTGGTGTTGTTTAACAAAGCAGGATGAGGAAAGATGTATGCAAATATCTAGTTTTCATTCCTCTAATAGGACTGTTTTTTTTCTCTGCTTGGTCCTCATAGTCTCTTAGATTTATTTCCCTTCCTTTCAAAAAAAAAAAAAAATCTGTCCTTAATGAATTTTAAGTTGCTTACATTACGAATTGCACTATATATTAGCATCATTTTTCATATTTTTCAACAGTTAAAATGTTTAAGATCTTACTGTGGCATAGTTATTGTGTGTTGAAACTAAATCAAAATCAAACATTTTGACTTTATACAAACAATCTGTTTCAAACACATTAAAGCGCCATTAGAAATTATGTTTCACAGAAATGTTTGAAACTATTAATTGGTTCTTGTGGAAAGCCTCCAGTTTATAAACTCAGCTGTTTTTGATACTTCTATACTTTCAGTGAAGAAAATCTGCTACTACAGTTCATATTAATGCCAAATTTGGCCCATGAGGCAGCTGATATTAAACCATAGACACCCAGTTTCTAAGGGAACTATAAAAAACAGTATATTCAGAAGATGCTGCAGGGAGCCTATAACCTCGACTTCTAAGCAAGACAGAAAAGTTGATTTGATGTCATTGCCCACATGGGACCAAGGGAAAAAAATGAAGAGCAAGAATGGTATTAAAAGGTTCTATAATCACCTACTGTCAAATTAAGACTGGTATTACCTGAAACCCTTGATGCCATCAGCTCTCTGCCCTAATCTCCTCCCTAGCAGTTCTATTTGTGAATCAAGGCTTGAATATGCACCCAGAAATATGTCTGTAGCCATATCCAATTTCAATTTAAGTTAATATTCTGGTTTAAGTCTGAATTTAAACTGATGAAGGTCAGGAGAGGATATACTCCCATTCATCCATCCTTGCTGCAAAGTTATTAGCCTCCAAGCAAGGAAACTAAGCAGGTACATGAGGATAGCTCACTTTACATCACTCAAGTGCCAAATATAAGCCATACAAGTATGGAGGTGGACATATACACGTGCAGGATTAAAGAGTGACATCAGTTTGAAGTATCTTGTGTTCCTGTGAAAGGAGCATGCCAGCAGAGTGAAGTAGACATCTGTGTAAGCACATATGGGATGGGATCCGTGCCCCAATCCACATGTGTGGAGGTAAGCCACAGATTACTCGGTGCTTCTAGGGGAATGCTGTATCCTTTGGCAAAAACCCCTTTCTATATTGCACTGGTGCACGAAGAGTCTTTTAGACAGAGCTTTAAACTAATGACCTGAAACCAGCATAAAGGTTAAGTTTTTGCACCCTGTCACTAGCACGTGCCTCTGCCCCGTGTCCCCTGGCTGTGATAGCCGTGTAGGCTGTGCAGAGATGGCTGGGTGCAGGCAGGCATGTGTTTGCTCTGAGCCAGCTGAGCCCTCCCTTATCTCTGCCTGCTGCCTTGGTGAAGCTTCTCTTCACGCTACTCTTCACCCGAATATCAATGAGTGAAAACAAGGCATTGCCAGCGTTTTGGAGGGGAGAGACAGGGCCAACTCACAGCTCTTGCTCTTTCTCCCTCTCTGTCTGTCTCTTTGTACCACACCTCCCCCAGCCTTTTCTTATATATTACCAGGTTTAAAGCACAAACTGTACCCTGTGGCAAGTGTCTGACTGCAGACAGTTTTCTCAGTGCCCTCACTTCAGATTGTATAATCCAAGCCCAGAAACACTTCTCTGTTTATCCTGAAGTAACCCTCGCCTGTGGGCAAAGCTCTCCCTGTTGCCCTGCCCCAGCTGCGATGTACTCACAGTTCACAGTGACCCGGACTTGCTTGACATCTGCTGAGGCAACTTCATTGGCAGCTTTGCACTCGTACTTGCCCGACTGCTCTCGTGTGATCCCCAGGATCTCCAGGTACTCCTCCTCACCTTCAAACTCTCTGCCTGGTAGGACAGAAAAATACAGAGAGTGGTTCTGTTAGGCTTTCAGATGTAGGAAATTGTCATGGAGGAACAATCACAACATGGAGTCTGCAAACAAGCAACAGTCATGAGCTGTTTAAAATTTCAGAAGCCGCTGAAAACTGAAAATCTGGCAGGCACCATACAGGTGGTACAATACATAGCATCTCACAGGCTGCCCAGGCTGAGAAGCAAGATCTCCACCATGTAGGATCAGACTAAGTTCAGTAGTGTGATGGCTGAGTACCACCAGAGGTTAGTCACACTGTGGGTGATGTGCTGGTTCAGGGCCAGCTGGGTCCTCAGACGTGTTGTCAGCACCCTTTCCTCCTCTGCAAAACTGTGAAAAATATCTTTCTGTCTCCCAGAGCAACCACCACCCTGAAGTGCCATCGATCAGATCAAGCTACTGTTAAACACGGCCAAACTGAGAGAAACAAACCGCAATTTGATCTGCAGAGACCAATAATCATCACGCATCCCTGAGCTACTGTACATATGGAATGACACATTTAAACTGTGCTGCCTCACTTACACACTTTGGAAAACAGTGACTTGAGTGTCAGTCGGGGTTGTGGATGGGGCAGCCATTGGGGGAGGTCTGTGGCCTTGCTTTTACTGTGTGACCTTGAGTGAGTCACTCCTTTGCTCTCCCTCTGTAAACTGCAGCAAATAGCCCCCCCCCGTCTCCCACCACCTCTGGTTAGCAGGGCAGTGAGGTTAACCCATGTAAAACACATTGGATTCATTGCATGAAAGTTGCCAGGGAAGCATGAAATATTAGGATTGGTACATCTACCCTATTCCTTCAGAAAGCAAAGTAAGGCATCTCCTGGAAAGAATCTGAACCACATTTCCTCCTCTCAGAGGGCTGTAAGCACTGCTCTGCAGCACTGGAAATGGCAAGCCCCAGTTGTGTGCCTGTGTATGTTTAGAGAAATCAGCCCCCAACCCTAAAAGGGTAAAAGACAGATCTGGAAAAAAAAAAAAAAGAAGAAAAAAAAGAAAAGGTCAGATCAAAAGAGCTCCCATTCAGGTTCCTCAGAGAGTGGTCAGATTTTCCAAAAAAAACTCTCTGCTCAGAAGGTATTTTCTGCTCAACAGGTGCTGAGCACTTCTGAAACCCTGCCCACTTCACAAAAGTGCAGTTTTTGAGAGTTCAAATAGTGCCTGCTCTTCACCTTGGTTTATGGCACTGCATGAAAGCAGTGGGTAAGTCTGGTCTCTGGAGCTGAACTTCCCTCTCAGGAGCCACCTGCAACAAATCCCACCCCAGAGGCACAGACTTACTGCAGTGTCTTGGCCAGGTCAGCCTGGCCACACACACTGGTGATGCCAGCTATGTGCAGTTCCCTTCAGCATCAGAGAGGAACTTCAGAAGCTTCAAAATCTGCTCAGAGCTCTGTCCCTTACATAATTATTTTTGTCCCTTTTTTTTTTTTTTTTTTTTTTTTTTTTCTTTTTCACAGGCAATTTTCAGAATCATTCTTGGAGAAAACCAACCCTCGTCAGGGAGACTCAGCATGAAAACAGCAGTGTACCTATTAAACGCATGTAAAGACAAGGGCTCCCTCCCTCTCTTTCAGCAGGGCTAATCAGCAGTCCCTTCTTCCAGCTCCTACCAGATGTTCAGGTAGCAAAAATCTCATTGCTATGTCTAGAATTTACAACTGCTTTGTTTTTTGCATTCCCCAACAGTCTGCTGCAGGACCTTCCTGCATGGCAGCGGCGTTTTGCACAGGGGGAGGAGGCAAAGTTGGCTCCTGCTGCCAGGACATGGCTCTCAGTCCTCTGCTCTGCACTGGGCTAATGCTGTGATGAGTCAGTGGAGAAGGAAGTAGGGTGGGATTTTCACTGGTGTTTTTTATTGCTGGAACTCATGCATATATTAGGGAGTCCTAACCCCAGTAGAACCAGAATTAGGTGAGTCTCAGAAATGCAGAAGGGACTTCAGTCACCATCTAATCCGTTCCCCAGTCTCAAGCAAGACACATGAGTCATGTCATGGACACTGCCATCCTCTGCCCTCCAGGAGCAGAGATTCTGCAGCCACTCCTGGCAATCTGTTCCTGTGCTTTGCTGTCCTTACCACTGGAGCAGTTTCCTGAAGATTGACCTGAGTCTCCCTTGCTGCAATTTAAAGCTATTACTTTTGTCTTAGCCACTACAGGCAAAAAGAACAAATCATTCCTTCCTTCTCTGCAATAGCCTTTTATCAACTTTTAAATCACTTAGTTCCTCCCTCAGTTGTCTTTTTTTTTTTTTTTTCTTTTGGCTGAACATTGCCAGGGTCTTTCAACCTTCCTCTGTAGGTGAGACATTTTTAGGCTCTTGATCATTCTTGTTCTTTGCTTTAAGACCTCTCTGACAAGTTTACATTTTTCTGGATGTGTGATACGCCAAACTGAACACAGCATTTCAGATGAGATGTTACTGTGGCTGAACACAGATGGAGGATTGCATTGCAACTACTGCACCACGCTGCTGTCTGTAGATGCAGCACATTGTTTCTGGTTTTGCTACAACATGGATAATTTCTGTTGGGGAACTCTCTTAATTCCCAGATTTTCATATTGTTCATATTGCTACCTGCTAATAAAGCACTTTAAAAACCCACCCCCAAACTGAGCTGACAACCAACACTCTTTTCACAGCAGCACTCCCAGTTGGTAGGTCAGTGAGTTGGCTGGAAAGTTAATCAGACATCAGGGAAAGACTCACAAAGAAAAGGTTAAAATATAATTTGCCTCTGTTTTGCAACTCATTTGCTCTGCAATTCTGCCTTGTTTATGCACAGGGTTCATTCCAAGTGGGACTTGCTTCTCCCGCAATTTGCCCTTGTCACAAGACTGTCACTGTAATGAAGACAAGGTTGAGGGTGACTTAACCAGCTCTAATAGAGTGGCACCCTCATTACGGGTGCTGTTAAGTCTGTCAGAGAACTACATCAGTGGAGCTCCAAAGTAACCTACAAGGGTAGATACTTTCCCAAGGGAAGATGTTTTTGAGCTTCTCCCCTGAAAAAATACATACACTTGGAGTGTACTGTGTACCATGTCCAGCAGGAGAGCTTTCACAGCTACTCAGAACCCCTCCCAAGACATGAGGAGCTGTTGGCTTGCCCAGTGGAATGCCCTGGAATTAAGTGAAAGGCACAGCTTTTGTTCTAAAGGGCATGTCAAAGACATCAATAACCCTATTCAACTTCTCATTCCCCTGCTCTAGGACACACATGTGTAAGCATAACACTTTAGGGAAAGTTTCTGTGACAGTCTCTTGCTGTATAAGTGGTAGCACTGTTCTTGTCTCTGCACTGGTGACCCTGAGCATCAACATTTTGCTACAAGAACTGAGCTGATCGCAATTTCAAAACAGACCCTTTTACTTGCTGCCTTGTCCCCTCTAAGAACACATTAACCATTTCTAACAAAAAGCATTTATATAAAATTGAGGTGTTGTAGTACAGAGCAGGGAGAGGAAAGATGTATCACAGTGTGTTAGAGAAATGTCAGGTTGTGATATCTTGCAGAGAGCTGTAGAGGTGTTTTCACTAATTCACTTTGGCAGCCAGATTAGGTGAGTCATATTAACTCTAACCTCTAAGGCAAACAGGGGGTGTGGGGAATAGGAACAGAACTTTATACATCGAGTGAATTTACAAATGTTTTTGCTCAGGAGCCAGCTTTGGTAGGGAACTGATGGTTGTCACTGTGCAGTTTATCAAAGTGGGGAGGGAGAAGGCTTGGACAATGTTCTTTGGTACTGATAACAATGAACACATTCTGTTAGGTGAAAGAGGGACTGCCAACTCCTGGCAAGAGAGCCACTCCATTCCCATTAAGAGAAGACATTTGCCTTCAGCAGATTATCAAGGGATGAAATTCTGACCATACTGCCAAAGCTTCCTTGCTGACAAGGGTTGTGTCCTGCCTGTTCTGCCAGGTTCAGTACACTCCTTTCCCTGTGAGGATCCTTTCAGGTTCCCCTAGGTGGATGACTTCTCACTCAGTGCAGCTCTTTACATCCTAAACCACCCCCTTGCATGACTGTAGGCAACCTGCTTCCCTGCAGGATTTTTGTCTTTCACATGTTCATAGTTAGCTTGGCTTGTTGCTACAGCCCCATTAAACACCATCTTGCCAAGCTGTAGCTCCTTAACTCGGTCCCAGTGAATCATAAAGAGCAGCTCTCTGCTCTGGAGGCTGGAGATAGAGAGAGCAGGAGCCCAGGAGGCTTGACAATCAAACCAAGAGGGAATGACCCTGAGCACTGCGAGCCAGGCGGCTGCTGCCGCTCGGAGCTGGCAGAGCTTTTTTTTGCAGAGGGATCTGCGGCAGCAGCTTTGATGTGTGCAGGAGGAAGGCTTTGAAGGCCTGCTTGCCTCAGCCACATTTCCTATCCCCTGGCTTCCTAATTGGACCCAGTAAATAATGAAGCTGAACAGCAAATCTGCTTGGCTATGCTAGCCTGCTGGCAAGCAGCCTTCCTTTTCCCTTACCCTCTGGAAATAGCCTTGTACAACCCCATTGGCTCTGCATATTGTCCTTGTTGGTGTGCACACCTGCCTGTGCTCTCATATAGATTATATATATATATATATATTTTATATATTTTATACATATACATATACATATACATATACATACACATACATATACATATATATACATATACATATACATATGTACATATATATATACACATATATATAAATATATATCATATACATATCATATATATATATATGTGCATATATATATATATATATATATATATATATATATATAATATGTATTTGGAATTTTATATACTGTGTATTTGCACATCTATAAATCCACCTGTGTGTGCAGAAACACAGACTGACATCATGTTCCCCAGGCATTTATGGGCCCTTCTCACCTCTACCCAAATGGCCCCTTGCACTGCCACACACCATTACTCTTTCCTCAAAGGCTGAATGCTTCCTTTCTACAAATGACCCA